TTGTTAGCCTGCACCAAACCAACAATGTTGTTATGTTTGTCTGCAAATCAGCAACAAAGATGGTGTTCCATGTACAGGGATATTTACTTCTCTCTTATTGGCTGCTTGGTTTTGAAAATGAGYATGCTCATTGGCTACAGTAAACACTGTGCTACATAGGTATTGCATTAAATACCAACCTTTGTCTCTAACTTTTTTGTTTTGATGTGATTGTATACTCTGAAGGCAAAATATTTTAAGAAGTTTTAAAAGGAGTTTAAAGTTAGAGACAAGTTCAAGAGTCTCCATTTTGATTATTGTCAGAGGCAGTTGAAACAAGCTTGGTTTGATGGCTACAGACTCTGTTATTCTTTTTTGAGTCAGACTTGCAATGAGTTTCCTGTAGCTAATAAGTGGGCTTGTCGKAATTAAAGATAAACAGGCAATGAGAGTGAAGTGTACATGTCTCAATGCCCAGAACAAGATGATCTTTGTCTCTGATTCGCAGACAAACATTAAACAGTTTTGGTTTGGCTGCACACACTCTAATTTTCATCAAACTGTGAAATAGTTGATGACACCTTCAGTAACATAACTATTCTACCTAAATGGTTTATAACTAATTTAGATTCATTTTCATGTAGTTTGGCACAAATCTTTCTACAGTATTTGTATGTTAATGTATAAAAATGTGTATTTTATGTGTAGGTTCAAGGCAAAGAACAAGCTAAAAAAGACATGAAAAACCTTGCAATAAGCAACTTTGATTTGCCTGGAGATGCACGATTCCCTTTGAATGCCATGTATCAAAAACCTTCAAGCAAACAAGACGCAGGTACAAATTACATTCTTGTGGTACATGTCTCTACTTTTTACGACTGCATTTTCAATAGTTCTGTGGATTAATAATTACGTTGCCCAAGAATGATCATTTGCTGATGTTTTGCTTTTGTTTTCCAGATCAAATGAGAGCATACCTCTTACAATTGAGACAAGAGCTAGGACAGCGACTTGTTGAAAAAGTTTTTGACCCRCAAACTGAGAGACCATCAAAGGTATCTAAAAACACTTAAATATTATGGACTTCCCTTCTTTTTACTTTAATTAATGTAACATTTGCATAGTGTTATGTTTGTCTATTATACGTTACTAATGATTAGTATAATAGACAAAGATCACCCTCTTCAAATGTTATATYAATTAAATTAAAAGGACAGGGAGTCCATCATTGTTGTTATTAGTTACAGTATGTTTTATTGTTCACTGGTCCTCACTGGGTTCATGTCATTTTTTTTGTTATTTAGTGGTGGATGTGTTTTGTTAAGAGAAAATTCATGGATAAGAGCTTATCAGGCCCAGGCCAGTGAAAAGTACACAGGCAAGTGTGTTATGACCATGCTAGCCCTAGTGGCCATCAGCATGGTTTCAAAGAAAGTATATATTATCATGAAAGGTTCTGCTTCAATCGTGTCCAATTAGCATAGCAGTGAAATCCAAAAAGGGCTTCTACTTTCTCAGTCTTACATACACACTTATTTAGGGAACCAACGAGACCCCCTGACMCCTTCGTATTGTACAATTATGTATATATACCCCTCTCCTGCCCTCCTTTTCAATGTTGTGTGTAAGCGTGCTCATATATGCGTGCCATCAAAGGTCAACATTCATGGTTCCGACAAATCAAGCGCGAGCGTGCGATTAGCCAATCAGAAGAAAGCGCGGGAATCGAGCGCTCGCAGCTTGTCCGGCTTGTCCCACAAATGCTTTCAAGTTTTCGTAAATGAAAGTCTTCCGACGATTTGCCAATAAAATTCCCGAAAATATTTCTGTTTCTTTAATTGTTAAAAACATTTAAGTCTTTTTGAGAAAATCCTAGAGAAAGGATTTAATTATTATGCGTTAACATTTAGGACTTTTTGTCCGCACATCTTCGGATCCATTTCAAGCATTTTTCTAGATTAGTTTTTGACTTATAGGGAACAGAATGAATCTTCCTCCATTTAATCTGGCTGTGTAGCGCGCATCTGCTTTACAAGTGCTACAGCAACACCTCAAAACCAACTCAACTTCGCCCTCTGTTTACATTTTTTTGGGACAACATGGCTACCATTACGTGTCCTCTTTTCTGATTGGCCAATCCCGCGCGCGAATGACGCGTTCGATTTGTCGGAACTACGAAAAAGGTCTGCATTAATATTCATCTTGCTGCAACAATTATAAAAAATGGGCACTGTCTCATTGATTTTTGTCCAGTGTTTTAGGCCATTGTACATTCTCATTCTGTCCCCTATGGTGCTTTTAACTAAGTTTACGTGTTTCTCTGCTTATTTTTATTGCATCTCATTATACTTTCCAGGAATTCCAAAGCATTATTAAAAGTAATTAAAGCAGTCAAGATCTAAATGTGCCAGATTAATTTGTACATTTGATAAATTTTTTTGCCAATCAATGTATTAAAGGTATGTTTTTAATAAAAGATAGTTGAAGTATAGTGTCTAGTTTTTATAAGCATTAGCAAAACATCAAGTCAAATAGTTCAAATTGTTGGCCTTGATAAAATATAGCTTCTCTTAACAACTGAGGGACTGTAGTTATATATATCCAGTACCCTTCCAGTTCTATCCACTTACATGTAGGCAGTGGGCAGCCAAACCAAAACTGTTTGGGTACGACTGCATGCACGCTACGTCCACTGTGTTTGTTTTTTGTTTTTGTTTTTGTTTTTGTTTTTTGTTTTTTTTTTCAGGCATCAGTATGCATCAGTAATCAACAATATCGTTATTCTGTTCTTTTTATTAGAACGCTTCTTGTCATAATTGCCAACTTTGAATATACAAATAGGTACAATTGTCTTCCAATTTTAGCAACTGAAAACCCTCAGCACTGCCATTATGATTGTTAATATTACAGCTTTTCTCGATTGACTTTCTTCAGTTTATAGTTAAGCAAGGTTCTTGGGGTATCTTTATATCTCATCGTCTTAGTTTTGTGAGCATTTAAAAGAAACACGCTGATCTACTGTGCTATATTTTTTTAATCAAACCGCACAAACTGGGATCCCTGTGTTGCCACTCCCTTTCAGCGCGTGCGCCGATTGGATTTACTGTTATATTACGCAAATTGCGTCACAAAGGTTTCCAGAACCTACATTTTTGGTTTAATTCACTCTGTCACAATTGTGCGAAGTTTGAAATTTCTAGTTTCTCGAATTTTACTTCATCAAACGCGTCAGAAATCATCAAACACTTGGAGTGTCATTTGCTTATTAACCTCAAAGTCCTCTTTCTTCTTTGCATCATTTCTGTAAAAAGATTTCTCATAATYCTATACAGTCAGAGCTAGCAACGCGGTTATGCTCAGATGCTGCAGTTGGTTCTAGCAAGTTCATGATAAATCAATGTTAATTATGTCTCTTGAGAACTGAAAGCGAAGTGTTGGTCAAGTCGGACACTATCGCAGCCGCAAGTACGAAGTGTTCACTCAGGTAGATGTTCTTTTGATTAACTTTGCTGTCATTTCCGGCCTTGCCACAATTTCATGAGCAACCTTCTCAAAAGAATGACGAGGACTTTAGATCCAATATAGATATAAGTATTTATACCACATATATTAGTTCATTGGATCCAAAGTTCTTGGCATTTCCATAGGTATAGATGCGTGAATATAGTTCATGAAACACTTGGGATTGAAGTGGATGAAGGATTTAAATGGTAAAATAGATAGACTTATAATTGAATGAAATTTGGGGGTAATTTTTTTTTTAATCAATAATTGCGTGTGATAGAATTAGAGGTTTGAGCGAGGGTCGGATGGATATACATATTGGGGAAAATCACACACATTAGGAGCACTTAATGTTTTTTTTTTATTCTTGTTTTTTTATGTTAGTAGTTTTAATGCTCGAAAAATGGTTAAAAAAAACGAGTGCGCGCTTTAGAGCGGATAACACGGATAGGGCGCTTACTAATCTTCCGCAGKCTCGTCCACATCTTAAATTCCATGCAACGGTTATTACCTTTTATACCAATTGGTTATTACATTTGAGGCCCGGCTTCAAATAACTGACAGTTATTACATTCCATGCAGGGGCCTCTGAAAAAAGCTATTTGCATAGAGAGAGCAAGTACATATAAGGATAATGGTGGGAACTAGCGGTAAACTAGTGTGAGCTGCGTCGGTGTTTCTAAAGAAACAGTTGTGTAAAGAAGATAAGTTTAACACCGTAAAAAAGTATGGGAAATAACTTACTGACGTTTCGGATGTTAATCCTTCGTCGGAGTAAAGGATATAAGGATAATTTYTATTGGAAATTTGCTGGCTAAAATTATAAGCTTTTTGTTTGTTTACTTGTTTATTTTTTGTTTATGTAAACCATATAACAATTTTAGGTTCATTGCATACATTGAGATATTAGCAATGAATATTCTTAGTTTGGATTGTATTCCAATTATAGTTTCAGAGCTAGAGCTGTTACAGTAAGTGCCTTATAATCATGTATTTTGGGTGTGSCTTGGTTACCATAGCAACARCGAGTACTAAAATTGGYATCAAATGATTTTCCTCAATAAGGATAATRATATGTGAAACAATAAAATGGCTAAGTCTTTTCCTTGAAATTATTGTTATCTTGGGTATCATACCACCTTAAGTGATGATCACAAGTCTTATTATTCGGCTAGGAAAATAGACGTTTATCCTGCTCGATACTTAAGTTGCCGTAACCCCTGCCAAAAAAGAGCAATGAAGAAATGCAAGGAGTCCTCAAGAAAAAGGTTCAAAAAGGTTGTTTACGGGATCTGGTATTATCTTTGAAATAAATCTAATTAAAACATATCCAACTGTCTCTAATTACATTGTTTATGAAAAGAGATAGGTAATTTGCCTATATATTTGTAATTTCGAGTCGTTTTTTCCGTGAAAAGAACTCATACAGCGGTGAGTTGCACTGAGAAAGATCTGTCGTATATCACTGTCTGCAACATCGAAATCATTTCAACTTAAAGTCTACTGCACAACCCTTGTTGGGCAACTGCTCGCTGGAAAAATAACTTGAAGATGTYTCCCTTGTTCATGTTTTTTGTCGTTATTGATTTTATTTTAAGTCTGGCAGACTACAGTTCTTGTCATACTGCTTACCCGCCCAACTTCGACAGGGAAAAGGGTCTTGTTTTTGACTTTTATCCTGYTCAAAAKCTTACGCCTCCAAAAGGTGCAATGAATAAGACCAAGTATGTCACAGATAACATGGACTGCGTGTTCGCTTGCATGGATGTCCATTGGTGCCGTTCAATAAATTATAAAATCGATCCTCGATCGAACGGTCTTCACCTCTGTCAGCTGATTTCAACCGAACAGTTTGCTGGGAAAGAGTACATGGTTYTAGACAAATCGTATAACCATTACAGCTTGAAGGTAKGGAAAACTGAAACTAAAAAACAGTGCAATACTTGTAGAATTGTATGTTTGATAATATTACAATTTCTGGTGATTTGTAGTATACACATGCATTCCAAAGTTAAATTATTGAGAATAGAAAAAAAGCTAAAACAATTTCTGGTTAAGTCAAAGACAAAGATCTGAACGGCTATGAATATGTCCATACATGTCTTTTGATAATAATGAAACTTTAATGGAAAAAAAAAACTTTTCCCAAATTTTCATTTTCATTTTCATTTTCATTTTCAAATTCTTTTACGCTTTCAAGAAAGAAATCAAAAGCGTTTTTGTTTTCATATTTAGAAAATGAGGCTATGATGCCGAAGTGTCCAAACTGTTTTCCCAGTCTCAATACGTCTAAATATTTTCCTTTCTCTATCATGCTAAATGAATTTTTTATAGTATTTCTCTGTATGTGATAAGTCACAAATTTGTCATATTTAGCTTATACATGTTTGCTCCTATACTTTTCGTCTTTTTCTCTTCTTTTATCTGTGAATATTTATTTTAAGTTTGCAATTCTGAATCTACTTTTTAAAGTAATTAAAATTACATCGATCATCCAACCTAGATTAGCTAYGCTTCTTGTGGGTTTGTGTGTAATGTGCTGTAATTATATTTTGTYGATAATAGAATTGAAAATTCAATTTCTGATAAAAGCAATCTCGAGCTTTTTTAATAATTTGCATGAAMACTTTATTATTYCTTGTTAGAATCCATGCCAAAAAGCCCCTTGTCGTAATGRTGGCAAGTGTGTTCTCCAAGAAAACAGGCAACATTACCACTGCAATTGTCTTAATGGATTTGACRGAGAGTATTGCGAAAAAGGTATCTAGACCTGTTTTGTTTTGTTTTGTCCCGCAAGAAGCTACGACAACGCTGGACAAAAATCGGCGAGACTGTGTCCAGAAGACATAGCAACATTGAAAAGGAGACTATACAAACATACTGTACGAAGGGGTTTGGGGGCCTCATACATTCTGTCCCCGTTGYAGCTCATAAAAGTGAATTTTTCTATTGCTATTTATTATATAATTACATGATAAAGAAGACATATCTAATATTGGCTGAAAATGCCGTAATTTAACATATTTGCTGCGGTACTGGAGTGTCGGTACAACAGTGGACATAAGATCCCCTGTTTTGAGTTGGTACTTGTTTATTTCTGAATTAATWATTCCTAGGAATCCTTCCAGACTCCTTGTTCAATGTAGAGTCCCCACTTTTAAAGTTCAGAAAAATATGCGCAATTTAAATTAGCTAAAACCACMATTTCGCATCAATTCACATTAATTTAATGATTCAAACTATACTAGACACGTTTCTTTATAATTTTTAAACCAATAGGACCGCCGAAGTCATGCCTTGAGATCCTTCACCGAAAAAAGTCAAATGGAACTGGTGCCCACTGGATTGATCTATCCAACATTACAGGAACCCAGCCTTTGCGCGTGTTTTGTGATATGGACACGGATGGAGGTGAGCATTGAGTGAAGAAAATGTTTCTATGTCAGGATGCCTGGAAAAATCCGATGAYTGTCGACCCCACCATAAAACCGGTAGAGGCCATGAAAATTATRGCCGAAGCTGGTMCTATAATTTTAGGGGGTAGGGTGCTAGACAGTTSATCCAYCACCTTATATATTGAGACAAAATACGACTTTTTTTACTCTTTTAAATGTTTCCGTATGCTACTAAAACCATCCTTCAAAAGGAATGCTCCTTCACACATCTTTCTAAATATAATGAACATGCCTCACAAGTAAAGTGTCATTCATTTGCATTTGACTCATTCATATTTATGATGAAAAAATCCAAGACATTCGGTCGAACAATTTGTTGTATTTTCTCCGTTAGTATTCTATAATAACTTCATTTGATATCTATAGACGCTGTAGTTCATAACACCATAGCCATGTTCTATAATTTGTAGTCTCTCATTCATTCTACCTTCTAAAAATCTGTAAGGGCATGTGAACGAGATTGATTTTCTAACGTCCTTATTGTATCATACCTTGCGCATAAACAGGGAGTATAGGAATTAATGTAAATTTGGAGTGAACACGTAATAAAACGCCTGAGAATCGTTTCCCTCTATGTATTTATTAAATTTTTATATAATATTTATATATAAACCTTTTGCATGACCATTACCTGAGTTTCTGTCTTACTTTTTTGTATTTAAGATCACGTGCACTAATTCGTTCCTCAATGGATTCGTTTAACAATTCTTTCTTCGCAGGAGGATGGACTTTGGTTTCTAACTATGTAATCCCAAGTTCGGGTGCAAAACCACCTCTTGACGTTATTTATTCCTATGCTGATATTRGACGCTATGGAAACGGACRTACGGTCATATCAACTGATGCATTRCGGGATCTTCAGGCGATGACGTCATTCACTCAAATGAGATGGCAGTGCCGTAAGTTGTTGAATGRGCGCATGATAGACGTCATAACATCCAAGAATGCATCTGGATATGCTGCTGTCAATTACTTTATGTCAGATAAATCTACAAGGCCAGACAGCTGTGGCTCGTTCTATTTGGGGCCTAATGAYAGCTCAATGATTTCAAGCCAATGTTCAGTTTGGGGTGCAAGTGAAAGTGGTAAATGGTCGAATCCAGGATATGAAGACAAGGCTTACAAAGTCTATGATCATCCGTTTTWTGTGAGCTCGAAATATCACTTCATTGTMAATTATAATTCAAGACTGGAATGTGATGATAATATGTATTCTGGCAATGTTTCACCTGGCGATTTCTGGAAGATTTATGTTCGYTAACATCATGAGAGTAGGACAGCAGAGCTTATCCAGGGGAACAACGCAGGAAAACGTTACTTTGAATTGTTTTCTGAACTTATATTTTAACATATTGCGAAACTGTGTTTTACTTGTGACCGGGCCATAGGTCCTCATTTATGTCGAGATTATTTGACTCTCCAATAACAATAAGCGGATTTGTCTTTGTATAATATATACGGTACCGAGGGYATGTGACTCTACAGCAAAATGCTACATTCTACGCAATCACCATACTCGTTGATGTTGTACCTTCTCTGTTAGAAGGGTAGGTCAGAATTGATTTATGAATTAATCACWTACACTTATTTCAAAAAACGTTCTTGGGAAGAACGGCGAGCGGCGATTGTCGAAGGGAGAAGCACGACCGAAAGAAACTATGGTTACGCTGTTTCACATACAAAAAATTCAATTGTTTGGTTTTCTTGCATGAAAATGGASACTAAATGGAGCCAATGATGACCATAGAATCCCTTACAGTAAAAATCAGTTATCATTTCGCCATCCATYAGCAAAACCCATGGCTACTTTCTCGGTCATGCAATCGATGTTCGACCATTGCCATTCGCCATTTTATCCGACAATCTTTTTTGAAATAGGAATATAACAAATAACACAAGCTTATCCAATCCACAAGCACTCCATATTAGGAAACAGCGATGAACTGATTTCTGGAACGCGAAAATTGACATCCCGCAATGATGAAGCACAAAACACTTAAAATATAAATGAATCAACAAGAATCGCTCATTAATGTCTAGCCATGACTAATAAAAGTCAATACTAATTTGTGTTCAATTGTCATTATAAGTTATTTTGACTGAACATTCTAATTAAGCTCATTCCAATTAAGCTCATTCCAATTAAGCTCATTCCAATTAAGCTCATTATTCTAATTAAGCTCATTCTAATTAAAATTACTTTAATTAAGCTTATTCTAATAAGCTCATTCTAATTAAGCTCATTATTCTAATTAAGCTCATTCTAATTAAAATTACTTTAATTAAGCTTATAGTCTAATAAGCTCATTTTAATTAAGCTTATTCTAATTAAGCTCATTCCAATTAAGCTCATTATTCTAATTAAGCTCATTCCAATTAAAATTACTTTAATTAAGCTTATTCTAATTAATAAGTTTAGATCTTTAGATCTCTTTCTCATTTATTAAGCAATCAAACTTGCTCGTGCATTTTTTAATCACAGTAAAACTGTCTGTAGGTGGAACAGTCTTAAGACCGTGTTCTAGGAAGCGATGTTTTCCAATCGTTGAGTAACGGTGCTCATCAATTCGCTGGTGTAAGTGACGTGCTGTGTAGCCAACATAGCCTGCATCACATAAACCACATTGAAACTTGTAAATAACGAGTTGTTGGCTGACAAGTGGAGGCTTTGGTTCTTGCATTTTAATTAAGCTCATTCTAATTAAACTTACTCTAATCAAGTTTATTCTAATAAGCTCATTCTAATAAGCTCTAGCCCTTTAGAGCTCTTAAGCTGCAATCGGCCAAGAACTGACACGCCCCAAGAACTACGTTTCCAGTTGTCCTCATGCTATTTCAAAAAACGTTGTCGGGGAGAACGGCAAATGGCGATTGTCGAAGGGAGATTGTACGGCCGAAAGGGACTATGGTTACATTATTTTGATTAACAAAATTTCACTTATTGGATTCACCTTACATAGTAATG